AGTATGTGGGATCATAAACAAAACTCTTTCAGTATCAAAAGTGTTTTTTTTGACATTTGATTCCTAAATAGATCTCCAACCTGCACTCACTGCAGCTAATATCAACTGATACACAATATTTCCTACAATATGAATAATTGTATGAATATTGTAATGACTGTAATGACTCAATGATATTCTTTGTCTCCCTGCTACCTCTCAGCAGTCATGAAATTTGTTTTCATTTTCATATGATAATGATAATCTTCGCTGTTTAGCTGCTAAACTGAGTGGAATTGACTACCCTTAATTCCTAATCCAGAGCTGTGATCATCCCTATGATGGAGTTTTTGAGTCATATTCTTTTTAAAACTCGGATATTGCTCTATAGTTTCACTGTTCTTCTTGTAATCCTAATTACAAAAACTGATTATCACTGCAGAGTGTTAAACACAAACACAGTTTTTGGAGCTTTGACCTTGTAAACTAAAAAAAAAGAAGCGTTACTTTAAAAACAAATTACATGACGATATACAGGATCTGCACTTTTCATTGCTGGTGTGCTGGGACCAAATTGCTGACTAGAATGGACTCTCCATTAGACTCTCTAATCTGTGGGCGACCCATTATCTTGCATTGCATAATGTTGAATTTAAAATACTTAGATGTTCTACTGCAATTTTCCTGTCATGAAAGACAGCACATTACATCACCTTACATAAAGACAATGGTGTCTTCACAACTGCACTGAGCACTTAAAGCATACTTTTTGGAAGACCCTTTACTTTCCTGTTTATTCAGATGAAAACGATGAAACTATATATTATAAATTAGATTTATTTTTTTATGCATCTGTAAACCACCACAGTGGATATGAATCTAGAGTTAATTCTAAGATTTGAAAATGGATTCTGTAGAAATTGACCCCACGCGAATATGGTTTTATTACTGGGAAGCATTTATTGATGTGACACTCATGTCTGTTCACATCCTGCTCCTCGACTTTTCAGCCAGTTGACAGTTCCCTCTGGTCTCTGGCTTCACTGTATATAAAGGGAGAAGCCTCATTAGACCGATTGCTGCCACCTGTCCCTCCAGCCTCCTTGGTACTGCCCCACTCCTCCCCTGCAGCTGAGCCAGGGACCACGCCTCCTCCACAGTAGCTTTCACTCTAACTTTAAATATGAGGTCCAAAAAAAAAAGAGTTAAGGAGGTAAACATTAGGCTGAAAATCCCAAAGGAACATTTTTCTTTAAAAGAAGGAGTGCACTGACCAGCTCAGCAGAGCAAAAAGGCGCAGAAGACCACAGGAGACAACAAAAGTAGATGGCAGCAAAATTCCTTCCCCTTCAAGAAAAAATGCCTTGATCGCTAATCTAGCCGCATCAAGAATACTCTCGTCAAAGTGTAAATTCAAGAAAGGAATTGATGATTTGAGTGCTGCTTGGATTAGCAGGATGAAGTGTACAAGGCTACACTCTCTGCTCACATTCAGCCAAATGCTGCAAAAATGGTCAGGCAGCCCTTCACGGTGTAAATGGATAATGACCCAAAACATTCTGAAAAACAACCCAAGAGTTTCTCAAGGCAAAGGAATGGGATATTCTTCAGCGACAAAGTCATTCACCTAATCTCTATTCAATGGAGCGTGTTTTTCAGTTAGAAAAGACAAAACTGAGAAGGGCCCACAAATACACAATAACTGAGGATTGTCATACAAGAATTAGAAACAAGTCCATATGATTAAATTAAATTAAATTTTAGTTATATAGCTCTGAATCACAACATGTGTAACCTCAAGGAGGTTTATATTGTAAGGTAAAGACCCCACAATAATACAGAGAAAACCCCAACAATGAGATGACCTCCTATGAGCAAGTACTTGGCAACAGTGAGAAGGAAAAACTCCCTTTTAACAGGAAGAAACCTCTTCAATTAACACTTCAGTTGGGCCTTGATTGTTTAAAATCTACTGATGTGAGGAGTCATAATTAACAAAAATACTTGAGTGTCTATAAATGTATAAACCTAACTGTAAATGTTTATTTTATTTAAGACAAAAGCTGATCTGTTGTTGGGGAAAAAAACAAGCAAACAACAAGTAAAGAGTTGTAGATAGGTGAGGGTTAGTGTGGACTGGCAGGTGATTCCTCTCCCCTTGTGAAGAGTCAGACTAGGTAAGCTAAGCTAATCGACCACTGGCCTTTATGTTTTGTCCTGACACCCGAGAGTGATAGGAGACTTTTTTGCTCACAAACAAAAACAGTAACACAACTTTGTACTAAGAGAAAATGTGTTTGTTTAAAGGGCTAAAGTTATAGTGTCATATATGAGTTTGTCTTTGATCCACTTTCTGCTGAACCTTTCCTTTCATCGGTCTTAAGTGTACTCCCGGGAGTTTTACTCCCCCTTTCAAAAACAAATTGTCATCCACTACAGCAGTTGTAAGGTTTAGTCGAGACTTGGGCTTGTGGTAAATGGTTCTGGTTAAGGGAGCTAAGAACTTCAGCACTTTCATAGTTTTTCAGAAACCTTCTTCCTTCCAAGGCTGCTGGATTAGTGACTTCTCTTTGTTTCACTTCTAGACAAAAAACAACAACACAAAAACACAAAACTCAGACAAAGGAAAGGAAGGAAGGAAAGTAAATTCACAAATAAAACAAACCCATTTTTATAATTTTATTGTGTTCATCAATATGTTACTCACCCATTTCCAGATATCTGCATCTACTCAGCTTTGAGCAGCCCTTTCATTTCCATTATGCTTTGTTGTACAATATTACACAAAAATGTCCACTAAGAATTCGATACATTATGCAAGACGGACGCATCGTGTATATTTTATTGCATTATGGTTCAGGCCTTATACACTCGGGCGTTGTTACAATTATTACAAGCCGACATGTGACTGGGGCACTTGCATGAAAAACAGGTATAACTTTTGATTTGATTAGACTGAGCATTCATAAAAGCAGAACAATGTAATTTTTAAATAATATCTTCGCTTCATCATTATCATCGCTTTACAAGTCTTGCACAGGGTTCCTGCACCATTTTAAAAAATCCAAACCTGTATCTTTTGGGACCTTTTAAGACCTCAATGTCCAAATTATGTGTCACAGTCAGGCTGTAAACAGGCCATAACCTGTAGCTGGGTATACAACTATGAAGGAGTACAATAATCCTTACACAGTGATATTTTTACGTGCCACAAATGAGAGTAAAGTGAATCTGTTTTTAATGATATCTTAGACAGAATCTACATATGTACCTTAGCTATCATACTTGTATGTAAAAGATGTTAACAGCATTATTGTTTTAATCTCATTATATTTTTCAGTAACACACTAATATATGCATGATGCAAGATTCAGTGATTACATTACAGTTACTATTGTCTTGTTAGGTTCTTCAGTTTTCTGCCGGGCAGATAGAAAGGAAAAGAAAAAAATCAACATGCTACAATCAGCTGATTTCAGTTTCTGGTGCTGGGAGGTGGAAAATGGTGTAGTCTACATTTTTGCAGATAACTTTTGTTTTTACTGCATGAAAGGACAAGCGATAATGAAACGCAAACTGAGTCCAGAATAGAAACACAACTTTGGCTCCTTGCAGCCATCTGCACAGATAGCATGCTAACACAAAGCTAGCGAAGAACCCAGAGTGATGTTAAAGCTGAGCGCTGGCCAGCCCCAGCCCCGCAGCCAGACACTTCAAAAGGTAGCAAACTTGTGCTTGTAGCATTGTAGCCTACTTTTCTATCTTTCATTTCTATCGTTATGGCCATCACTTTAAAGTTTCTTTGGTCGGATTTTAAACTTTGCTTTGTGTTGTTGGTTTTGTGTTCATATTGTAAAAAGTAAAAGAAAGATTGCTCGTGTTTCTGTATTCAAATAGGGATTTATATTGGTGTGTGGGACTGTAGCCTCAGGCTTATATTTTTAACTAGTAATTATGTGACAATGCATTTCAGGTTATTTTATGGAGTAGCTCTATAATGAGTAGTGTACTTTCTCAATCAAGTAATTAGCTAACATAGTGCATTTCTTTTAAGTAAAGTAATGCGTAATGACCCAAGCATTGGCTGCGACTCTCTTGCAAAAGAGATTTTTAATCTCATCTCGTGTTATTGTAGTTAAGTAAAAAGAAAAAAAATCTGACATACTAAAAGCACAGTTCTCAACTGTTTTGTTAAATTATAAATGTCATGTGCAGCTACAGCTGGTACCAGTAGTGGCATTATTGAGCACTTCCATGAGTCAATCTGTAAAAGTGTGTGTTTAGACTCAGGCTCGAGTATGACAGTGCAATTTACAGTTTTCTTTCTTATTTTTGTCTTTACCCTGAAACGACACTTGAAGCTGTGAAAACATCTGAAATTGTTAATGAAATTAACCAACACTGGTTAACAGTAATTTGGTGATCATCGCATGTTTTAAGACCAACAGCAAAACTATTATTACGTTTTCTAATGAACTTGCTGGAACCCTGTTGTAAGACTTGCGCAAAGACCCTTTGCTTTTATGTTTTAGTCATCAGGAGCCACGCAGTGTGACGAAGCGCAACTCCAAGCAAAGTTTGTCCATTTGACAGAGGCACAGAAAGACAGAAATATTGAGAAACTGCAAAAACAGAGAGGTAGGCACTGTAATAATCCTGAAAACAGGTTCTGTGCTGTCGAAGCCTGACCTGAACTCCACTGAGGCCAAGGGGACTAATTGTTAATTAAGCAATGGTGATGAAAAAGAGCTCAAGTGTAAATGAATGTGTCAGTCTGAAGGAGCACTCAGACACACCTTTTAGTCCCACAAAGGAAAATCAGCATTATTTTAAACTTGACAGTGCACTCCAGCAGTTCAGAATGGCTGCTTAT